ATTGAATGGTAAATTTTCTCTTCTACACGGAGAAAATCTGTTACCAGCAAATCTCCCATGAAGGAGATTCTAAAGGGTATACTTGAAGCAAAAGAAAAGTGATTCCAGGTGAAAGATTTAGCATACAAGAAGGAAGAATAAGGAAAGCAGGGAATGCATGCAGCAAATTTAAGCAAATTATGACTATATAATGCTCTATTAAAAAATGATGTCTGGTGGGCCAAACAAAAAAACTAGATAGATAACAAGAAAACAAAAGCAGCCAGGCATGGTGTTGGTCAACTGTAGTCCCAGCTACTCAGGAGGTTGAAGCAGGAGGGTCTCTTGGGCCCAGGAGTTCCAGGCCAGCCCATGCAACACAGTGAGACCCCATCTCTTTTTCTTTCTTTTCTTTCGTTTCTTCTTTCCTTCCTTCCTCTCTCCTCCCTTTGTTTCCTCCCTTTCTTTCTCCCTCTCTCTCTCTCTATGAGTCAAAGTCTCACTCTTGTCACTCTAGGTTCAATGCCAGGGCATCATAACTCACAGCAACCTCAAACTCGTGGGCTCAAATGATCCTCCTGCCTTAGCCTCATGAGTAGCCAGGACTACAGCTGCCCAACAAAATGCCCAGCTAATTTTCCTATTTTTAGTAGAGAGGGAGTCTCGTTTTGCTCAGGTTGGTTTTGAACTCCTGAGCTGAGGCAATCCATCCACCTCAGCCTCCCAGAGTGCTAGGGTTATAGGTGTGAGCCACCACACTCAGCCAGAGATCCCATCTCTAAAAAAAAAATACATAAATCTTTTAAAATTTAAAAAAAGAAAAAAGAAAAGCAAAAGGCCAATGTGTGGTAAATGAAGTTAAAGTATTCTAAGAACAGAAAGGGGAAAAAATGCCATTTCAAAATAACATTATCATCAACACAGAAAGTCCAAAAGAACCTATAAATTATTACTAATACAAATTTAACAAGTTTGGTGGATTAAAAAACTAATATAAAACACTAGTGCATTTCATATACCATGAACAACCAGACAATAAAATCTTGAAGAGGATATCATTTATGACAGCACAAAAACCCCACTTAAGAGGAACAGAAGCAGTGGCTCACATCTGTAATCCCAGCACTGTGAGGGACTGAGGCAGGAGGGTCATTTGAGCCAGGAGTTCTAGACCATCCTGAGTAAGAGCAAGATCCCATCTCTACAAAAAATAGATAAATTAACTGGGTGTGGTGGCACATGCCTAGAGTCCCAGCTACAGGGGAGACAGAGGCAGGAGGATCACTTGAACCCAGGAGTTTGAGACTGCTGTGAGCTGAGGCTGATACTATACTCCAGCCTTGGCAAGATCTAAATAGCAGACATCTATACTATGTTCACAGATTAGAAGACAGAAAATGTAAATTCTTCCCCAAATTGATTATATTGATCTACAATTGATCAATATAATCCCAATAAAAAACTCAACAGTTTTTTAAAATAGAACTTGAAAAGATGATTCTAAATCTGATTAAAGTATCAAGGACTTACAAAAGCCAGGACACTCCTGAAGAATAAGGTGGATAGGACTAATCCTATTCAAGATCGGAATACCTCGTCATTGTGATAGCAAAACATAAACCAGTGGGACAGAAGAGAGAACCCAAAAAGGAAGCCCTACACATAAATGGAGACCTGACTATGACAGACATGGCACTGCCCATCAGGAAGGGGAGGAGGGATTAAACAAACTCAGTGTGAGAACAACTGAGTACAGAAAAATGAAGATACTATACACAGTGATCAATTCCCGGTGGGTGAAGACCTAAACATGAAATACAAAACTGTACAACTTTTAGAAGAAAACAGCTAAATATGATAAGAACCTCAGAGTAGGGGAGATTTCTTAAGCACAATAAAAGCACAAACCATAAGGAAAAAATTGCAGAGTAACTGGATTTATCACTAAGAAGTGTTCACCAAGAGACAACATTTTAAAAAGTAAAAAACAAGCAACAAACTGGGGGTGAAATCTGCCATATAGCTGACCAAAAATAAGGATTAGGACCAAGGACTCCCATAAATCAATTAGAAATAAGACAAATCAAATAAAGAAAATCCAAATGGCCAATGCCCGTGAGAAGATGCTCAACTCCATTTGCAATCAGGGAAATACAAATTAAAACTCCAATTTCAAACTAATCACACTGCTAAAGTATGTCAACATCAGATACTGCTGGCAAGAGCACAAAGTGACAACCAGGAACACACTGTAATTACCCTGTGATCCAACAATTTCATTCCTAATATATCTTCTACAGAAACTCTTTCCCATGTGTACAAAGAGATACATTGAAGAATGTTCACAGCAACACTGCTCCTCCTAGCAGAAAACTGGAAATGACCAAACTATCCATGTAACTGTTTACATGGATGAATACATTGAGGTAATCACAGACAACTTACAGCAGTGAAAACAAATGCACTGTAACTATACTTAGCAACATGAGGAAAACCCAAAAACATGTTGAATGAAAAGAAAACATACAGCATAAATCCATCTATAAAAGGTCAAAAACAAGCAAAATTAAGCAATATATTAATTAAGGATATGTTCAGAGGTTGTAAAACTATAAAGAAAAGCAAAGGAATGATTATCACAAAAGTCAGGAAAGTGATTACCTCTCGGGAGAGGGAGGAGGAGGCAATCGGAGAGGGGCACATAGAAGACTTCTAAGGTACTGGCAATATTCTATTTCTTAACCTGGGTGGTGGGTACATGGATGTTCACTTTATTATCAGTATGTAAACTGTATGTATACATTTATATATTCTACATATTTCACAATAAAACACATTTTAAAGATACTATTTAATTTGCAACTACCAATCAAGGAAATGTTTACAGAGAGAAGTTGAGTATAAAAGCAGCCAACACTTACCAGTGCTTCTTCATAGGGTTTATATTTCTCCAGCTGCTTCAGTGCTTTATTATAGTTCTGAATTACTGACTCTGGTATTGGGTCTTCTGACCATTCTTCATACTCTGCAAAGGTGGCCTCCATATCTATTGAAAGATGGATTCAGCCCCACTGGGTTTTTCCAACCCAAACATAATTTAAACTGTGAGACTCAGGTGCCACTAGCCCCTCCCACCTCTGTGGCCATGGCAGCCCTCAGTGATCATATTCTGCATTCTTCTGAGCACAAGCTTGGCCTTAGAATCTCTAGAAAGTGTCCAGGCAAACCTACCAGCTAATTAACTAGAGTCTATGACACTATTAGCAACACTTACCTACTGCTTTCTATTTCACATTCATCATTTTCACATTCTTAACATTTCATTCCTATTTCACATTCATCAACTCATCTGATCCTCACCACTCAGCAAGGTAGGTTCTATTGGGATCCTCACTTTGCAGTTAAGGTTAAGTCATTTGCCTAAAGTTAACAGTAGAGCAAGGCTTTAAACCCAGGCAGCCTAGTACAAGTTCACACTCTAATCACCAGGCTAAGCTGTCAGCTAATCATCAGGATCAAGGGGAAAGCTACAAACGAGCTCAGCTGCTGCCTTTTCTTCATGTCACCCAATGATTTGGTTGGACAGCCACTTTATAATTTGTTAAATCCAGATAAACCAAGAAAAGAAATAACATCTAGACTCTCAGAGGTTCTGAATATGTACAGTGCACAACTGTGCCTAGGGAACGAACAAGACAGCAGTACCAAACTCCTTCCATACTCAGAGAACTCCCCCCAGCACTGCACACACTCACCGCTCCAAAGCCTGAAAGGTTGGCCTGCCAAAATAAATTCACTAAAGAGGAGATACCAAACTCTAAGAAATTCAGATATGAATACTTATAATTTGTACTTCTGAAGCAAATCACGTCCATACTCCGTGTAAAATTCTCCATTACGGAAGAGGTTACTGCTGAAGAAAAAATGCTTATAATGGAACTCTTACTCAATGCAATTTCCCCAGAAAATACAAGGAGTCAGTTTCCCTACTCCTGTCACTGATTTTTATCTCTACCTTTCCAACAGACAGACAGAGATCTCAATTGGGAGGCAGGGGATTGAATTGTTAAGCATAAACAATTTAAGATATGTTTTCACCAAGGATCTCATTCAGAGTGACACCAGCCAGTGAGATGAGAAAAAACAGCTCTACCTGCCACATGGGTTGCTGGAAAAGGTCTAACCACATGACATACCCTAAAGCATTTCAAAAACCACAAAAGGCAGGCTGCTGACATGTCAGTTTCTCTTACCATAAAGTGGGATCGCCAACTGTCGCCGGAAGAGACTGTGGACTTTCTCAAGCTGTGAATCAAAGGTTTGTTCCCGGTCAAAAGGGGAAAGGAAGCCAGCCATGGGCTAAAGAAGCAAATCAGTAATAAGCTAGTAAAACTAATAAACTAGTAAAACTCTAGTTCTAATAAACTAATAAAACTAATAAACTAGTAAAACTCTAGTTCTTTCTAATTCAAAAAATATCTCAACAAATTTTCAGTTCAAACTAAAAAAAGTATATGACCTCATATATGAGATATCATGCCAAATGCTGAAAGGGGTACACAAATAATAATGGTATCTCTGCCTCTAAATAAACGTTTTGGACAGGGATAGAAAAACCGAGTATTCATATTCTTATATTCTTATATAAGAAATGTATCTAAGTTACTATGAGGCTTATATACTTATATAACTAACTATACTAAGTTATATAAGTATTATAAAAATAAAGTCGCATAACAATCAAAGTATTGCCTAGCTTGCTTCACAGTAGTTTTTAGGAGTGACTTATTATTATGGGAGGAGGAAATCAGAAAACACTCCTGGAGGAGCTGGCATCTAGGATGCACCTGCCGGCTCCTCAGAGTTAGGAAGAGAAGGAAACTGACTCCTAATTGAAGAAATATGACCAGTAAAAATACAATGGCAAAAAAGTGCAAGAGTGCTGGGTGACAGCGAGAGCTGAGTCCATGCAGAGATTATGCCTTACACTAGAGAGAGCCACCAATGTAGCTTTCCCCTCCAGGGAAAGGCACCAACCCTGATGCCTTATTCAGGATAAGCTAAGGGCTCCACTGCAGATTTTTGAAAAGGAAAGTAAATAATGACTAGGGCCATTTTATTAACAATGATCTACCGAGTAAGTGCTCCACTATGTATCCATAACTTTACACATGTATGAAAACATAATGAAGAGGGGAACAGAGCTGTAAAGTTTCTAAATCACAGCCTAAAAAAAAAGTTATGAGGGGTCAAATCTCCCCTCACAGTTACAATTATACATCATTTGTTTTTTTGGGGTTTTTTTTGAGAGATACCATTATTCTTTCACTTTCACCTGGAACTATGTACAGTAGTAGTATTTTTAAGTATCAGGAAAAAAAAATCATAGAACCATCTGCTTTTAATTAAAAGAAATCATTCTTGCTACTTTCCACAAGACTACTCATTTTATTATTTACTCACCACCCACTAAGGCAGTGGTTCTCAACCCTCCTAATGCCACAAACCTTTAAGATAGTTCAAAAGGGGTCACGACCCACACTAAGAGAACCACTGCACCAAGGGACTGGTAAAGACTATTTTGTTAACCATGTTACCTGAAAGTCTAATCTTGGACATACATTTCAAAATAATACCTCCACAGTGACTTATAAAGACAGATCCTGCCCATTCATGGGCAGGCAGGGGTCACTCACCCGAGCAGCTTCCACAATCGCACTTTCAAACTCTCGGTAAGCCTCCCAGATGGCGAGTCCCTTGGTCATATGTAAACCAACTGATGAAAGCGCCCTTTCAAACACAGAGCGAACTTTCTCAAGGCCACCTTTCTGACCAATCCCACCAACCGAGTACTGGCCATACTCCAGCCAAATATTAGGACCTAAAATTGAGAAATGTTCAATTAGTTTGGGACATAAAATACCCAAATATCAAAACTGATGCAAAACAAATGTGCCCAGTACAAAAAAGTACTCATTCATGTAAAAGATTAAAGCATTGGCAAGTATCCCAATTTACTTATACTAACCTATAGCCTGAAAAGAAACTGTATCTTAAACAATATTCTACTAAGTGTGTATCACTTCTCGGCCTTTGGCTAAGATCAAGTGTAGTATCTACCAAGTGTAATAAATGAGATTTTATTGTATAAATAGTATATGTCAGTTCAGCGCCTGTGGCTCAAGCGGCTAAGGTGCCAGCCACATACACCTGAGCTGGTGGGTTCGAATCCAGCCCAGGCCCGCCAAACAATGACGGCTGCAACCAAAAAATAGCCGGGCATTGTGGCAGGTGCCTATAATCCCAGCTACTTGGGAGGTGGAGGCAGGAGACTCCCTTGAGCCCAGGAGTT